TGGGGACGTACAGTAGCTATGTGGCATTGTTATTGCTAGGTTATTGTAAAGCATCAGTGTTTGTTCTTGTATCGCAAAATCCCCAGGGGGATGCGAAGTGTATTTAAAAAAACCAAAAATCCTAAAAAAATCCCAAAAAAGAACTTGAGCAAAGCCCCTGCTGCAAAGCCAAGGGGTTCAGCCATCGCTGTTGCCTTGTTCCTCCGAACTGGCAGGTCCGGGATGAGGTGGGATGACTGTGAGGGCAGGCTGGGGCTTTGGATGAGGGAGATGTGACAGCTGGTCTTTCACCAGAGCGACTGGGATGAATCAGCCCTGCACAGCCCCCCGGCCCCCAGTGCCCACCAAGCTGCTTTGCAAGAGAAAAAAAAACCTACAGTGATCGCACCCTGAGAGCTTCTGCCATCTCAGCATCTGCTGCCAAGTGGTGGGGCAAGGCGAGGCGGGCGCTGCGGGCAGTGCAGGGGATGCATGCGGCCCAGCCGCCTCCCGGCGCGGTGCCGGGTGTGCACCCAGGGGAAAGCGGGCAGCAGGAATCGGCAGATCCCGCTGCCCCTGTTTTGGCAGAATTGTTTGGGAATCGGTCATTATCTTGTTTGGTTTTTTATCACATAGCAAAATGGTAATAATTCTTTCTATAAATATCTACACATGTGTGTATATATATATATATTTCAGTTTGAGAGCAGGATAGTGCTATTTTTAAACTTCTTTTATATAAAGAAATTTCTATCCTGACAATAAACACCCTGAAGATTTGTATGACATATCCCTCTCCTTTCAGCTGGACATCTCTGTGTCAGAACAGGGGCCTCTGTCTTTTGCAAAGATCCCCTGTCCTCAGGCTCCAAAAATCCATCAGGAAAATCTTTGCTCTTGTGGGCACCCCAGGATGCTGCAGACCTGGCCTCAGCTGGAGGGAGCCAGCATGGCACGGACACTCTGTCACCATTCCCAGTGTTTGCTTTGGAGCCTGTGCTTGTCGGAGCATGGGGAGCAGCTGCACCTGCTTTACAGGGGTGTAAATGTGCCAAGTCAGCGGTGCAGGGCCACCTACACCCATGGGGGATGAACTTCCTGGCTGGAGGGAGGGATGCTGAGGCAGCCGGAGACCCATCACCCGCAGGTGCATGGGGCAGAGGTGACTTTTTAGTCACAGAAGCCCACCTTGATGTAGCCCTTGTGCCCCACACCTGGAGGAATGAGGTATCCACTTAGTCCTGTCTCGTGTGCAGGCAGAGGCTGCTGGATAGGGACAATGACAGGTTTTGGCGGGGTCCCTCATGTACCCACCTTGCTTGCTGGTCCTGTACCCAGGAGGTGAGAGCAAAGCAGGACTGGGAGGAGCTGTTGCTTCTGAACTAGCAGTTTGTGCAGGAGGGATTTGTTTGCCTGAGGGGGGGCTCATGGGGCTGTGTAGGGTGCTGTGCAGCCCTAGGCTGGTGGGAGGAGGAGAAGGGTTACAGCCCTGGGCTCGCACTGCTTCGGCACAGCTCCTTCTCCCCAGGGACACTGTTGGTGGCTCCAGCACCCACCTTAGACAATTTGCTTTGCAGATCCTGGGCGCCTCCACTTCCATGAATATTCCTGATGGGTTTATAGGGCACTTTCGGGGTGGGCTGGGGGGACACATCCTGCTGGTCCCACCTTCAGGAGTGCTTTGCTCCATGGGAGTCCTGTCCTAGGAGGCTGGGGCTGGGATGTAGTGTGGCTTTGTGTGCTTGAGGCTGGGATTTGGAGCCAGTAAGCAGGAGACTGAAAGCAGGTCTGGGCTGGGGTGTGGGTCTTGCTAGGATGGCTCCAGGGAGAGGAGCTGGGAAGTGCTCAGTTATTGGCCTTATGAGGCCAAGAGTAGCTTTTTTCACATGCCATCAAAAGCAGTGGCTTCCTAGTTGGGTATCAGGGTTTGATGGCTTGTGAGCAGGGCTCTTGTCCCAGTGGGCATGGACTGGGGCATTTGTAGCCTCATTATATCAGTTTGCTGGACCAGCAAACAAAGCACTACTGATTAGCTCTGCACATATCCCAGCTGGCCCTCCTGTCAGCCCTGCATCCCACCGGCCAGCCCCGTATCCCATCCATCCTGTGCCTCTCACCTACCCCGCAGCCCAGCAGACAGACCCGGGGGAGTGGCTAAGAAGGTGCTGATGGTCACAAGCCACATCCGAGCCAGATCCTATTGCTACAAGAGCACAGTGACAACAAGCCACAGCAGTGTTCTGCAACCCCGAAACAGGGGGCTGGGACTTCCCTGCTTTGTAAACAGCTCCCTAAAAAACAGAGTAACTGTGGGGAAAATTAAAAAAAAAAAAAAGGAGAAACAATAAATTAGCTGAGTTTGGCATTTAATAACAGGCTTGATTAGAGTAGATAATGGCATGCCCGGAGGGCATGACTAAGTCTCAGTTGGCCCAACGTAATTTTGGCAGATATTAATGGAATTTGTAGACAAAGTGGAGCTGGGCTGGAGTGAGACAGAGAGGCTCGGTGAAGACTGGCAGCACGGCCTGGCCTCGGGGGTGGCAAAGTGTCGGTGGTGAGGAGTGAGAGGGAAGGTGGGAGGCAGGGGCAAGAGCAGCAGGAGCTGGGCATCAGCTGAGGTGGGGTTTTCGGGAGAGCGTCCTCAGGACAGGCTGTGGGATCGCAGCTGAGAGCAGGGCCGTGTCTGTGTGCTCCGGCAGAGCCTCATTAATGGCTTTTCACTAGATGGCACCAGACACCAGTGCTAATGAGGGTGTGCTGGGCTGGGGGCACCCCCTTTTCCCAGGCACCCCGAGGCGGTGGACCTGGCTGGGGGCGAGCGGAGCATCCTCAGCCATGACCTGCTGGATGGAGCTGGGTGTCAGGCTGAAGGCATTGCATTGCCCGGCAGGGCACAAGGGCAGCTTTGTGGGGTGCAAGTAGTTCCTCGGGTGCTTTGTGTGCTTTGCGTAGTCAAGCCCTGAGCTGGGGGACCAGGGGTGGCTGGCCTCCCTCCCCGCCATCCCCAGGACATACAAACTGGAGAGCCCTGGCCTGGCTGGGAAATTGCAGCATCAGCTGGCAGCACCCTCGGCATTGCACAGCTCGGCTCAGGCCTTGCTGCCTCTCCAGGAGGCTCACAAAGTGCTTTTCATGGAGAAGAGTTTGAGCAGTGTGGGGTGGGGATGGCTCTGGGGGAGCCTGGGGCAGTGGGTGCTGCACATGTGGCAGAGTGCAGTGCAGGGACGGCAGGTGGGCCTGTGCACAGAAATGCTGAGGGCTGGGTTATTCCTTGGGAACTTGCAATTGAAGTAGATTTTAGACTTTTCCCCTATGAATTTACTATGGATGAAGCACAATCAAAAGTCCTTCAGATGGATTTCTGCCCCCAGTTTCTCTGCAGCTGAATCCAAGACTTGCTCCTTGGTATTTTCTCCTCTCTTGGAGGTGCAGCCCCAAGCACCACCTCACCCAGATCCTGGCACCAGCTGGGAGCACAGCACTGTCCTATCCAGCTCCAGCAGCAGCTGAACACCAAAGGATTGCTTAAAAATTAATCCAATGCTTGTATTTCTCATTAAAAGTGCTAAATTGTTGGTGCACAGCCCAGAAAGTCTGTTTGTGTTGGCTAAATGCTCTCCCAGTTATTTAATAAATGGCTTTACAAAGAGCTAAATGCAGCCACATAATCATTATGAAAACTGGACAATAATTAACAGATACCCAGTAAGTTAATAAAGTCCAGTTAACATGGTACATCAAGTCATGAGAAGGGAAGTCTGAACAGAAAAGGGCAGAGTGAGATGCCCACCATGCCCTGGATGGCAAGCCGGGGGCTCCAGGGGCTGGGGTAGAGCAATGTCAGGGGGCTCGGGGGCTGCACTTAAGGGTAATGTCTGGGCTTTTGCTGCTCCTTGCCCTGCCCAGCTGCAAAATCAGGGGCTGTCCCAGACTGCTCTTTGCAGGAGCACGGGGTGTTTCGCTGTGGGGTGCCTTCCCCTCCTGGGGCATTCCCAATGCCTGTTACCAGCAGAGTTTGAGTACCTGCCAGCCCCAGAAATCCCAAGAAAAGGTTCCAGGAACTTGTTACACAAGGTGAGGAGGACATTGACCCACTGGTGGGAAATGGAGCAATTTCCCATTGCCCAAGAGCACCTAAAGAAAACGTATTGGCCCAGAGGTGGGGTACCATCTCCTTATGAGGAAGAAGATGGAGGCCTGAAGGCTGGTGAGATCTTTACTCTCTGAGCAAGGACTACAGCCCCTTAGCCCTACAACCATCAAGAGTTAGGGCTCGGTCACACCAGGGCTGTTTGGCTGATGACAGGGCTGTACGGAGCTAATGCTTGTACCCCAGTGAAGCCAGCCCCTTTCTTCCAGCACCAAACTGCTTCCTGCATGCAGCAGCCACCTGGAAAAGATGCTGGGGTTCAGATGACCCACAGAGCTTGGGAAGGACTCACCCTTGGCTAAGCCAAAGCTCCTTTCCCCACACTAGCTTATGCCACCAGTGGGACAGGAGACAGGAGGGTTTGGGCCTGGCGCAAGTTTCCTCTGGGAAAATCACAAAGGATCATGCCTGGGAAGGCACAGGCAACCCCATGCTGATCATCATGCTGTAAGGTTTGGTTTGCAGGTCCGTGTGTAAGCAAGGTACAGAAGGAACCCCACATAACAGACCCACAGAAGGGAACACAGCATGGTCACCACAATGGTTTCTCCTGGAGAAGCATCCCTGCCCAGGAGAAAGTAGCTCACCACCTCCAGCCTGCTTGGGGATGATGCCTTGGACCATCTCCCCTTGGCTTGTCCCTCAGCCCCAGGTGTGGCTGCAGAGTACAGTTGTGCAATGGAATAACTGCTTTTTGAGCAATTGAACAATCTCATTTGTATCTTGTGCAACCCCAGAAACCCCAGGCTTCCAGAAAACACAATGCAATGGTAGAGGAAAAAGATACAAACACGGACACATGCCCAGCCCCGTTCCCCACCCCCATCCTCCCCAATGGTTTAAATGTCGGAGTCCTGCAAGCTCTCCAGGCTCACACCTCTCAGGGAAACGGCAGCATGAAGTCGGTGACCGCCCTTCTCCTGGTGGGGATGCTCATGCTCTGGACAGAGCTGCCGACAGGTATGAGATGTCCTAGGATGAGGTATGGGGAGGAAAAGCAAAGGGTCTGGGAAGGACCTGTGTTTGCAGAGATCCTGTGGGATGGAGGGGAGAGGAGGGGAGCATTTGCTGGGGAGAATCTTCCCAGGGCCCCTCAGCTGCTGGCAGCCTGGAGCAAACAACTCCCTCCTCTTGCAGGCAGTGCCTGGTCCTGCCCACACGTCCAAATCACTTGCGCGATGCTCAACCCACCGAACAAGTGTTACACCAACTGGCAGTGCCCGCGTGGCCAGAAGTGCTGCCCGTCCTTCTGCGGGAGGAGATGCATCTCGCGCCCACCTTCCATCCCCATCTCCTACGGTAGGGTCTCGGGTAGCAGTGGGGGGATACGGTGATGGTGGCTCTGGGCAGGGAGCTGTGTCCGGCTGCCATAGCTCTCCACTGTCAGTCTGGAGGGGTGATTGACTGAACATGTGGGCTGGGGTTACTCTGAACACCAGACTCATCCTCGCTGCTTTATCTCCCTTTCTCCAGCATGAGGTCCTGCTCCCAGGACAGACTGAGGGCCTTCTCAGCATCCTCGTGCCACCCCAGCACCAGACAGCTGCCCACGCCTCTGCTAAACCTTGTCCTGCCCTACACTGGCTCCTGGGAGGATGGGGACAGACACCAGCCCATGCTCAGAGACCACCTCGTCTCCAGGACCACCCCATTGAGAGCTGCAGCATGGTGCTACATGCCACCTGCTCATCCTCTCCCTTTGCTTCCCCACTGCTGCTTTAATAAAATAAAAGATCTTGTCCCAGGGATGCTTATAATGGTTGACTCCTTCCCCCACCACCTCCTGCCTCTCTCCAGGCCCATCCTGGCACATGCTTCTACTGCTGCTTTCGCCCAAGTATTTCTATCTGGGGAAGAGGATTAAAACAGTCCAGCTGCACACCCAGAGTGTGGTTAGGGTCTGGCTTGGGGGAGAAAATCCATCCAGAGGTGTACAGACCCCTGGAGGAGAGGACAATGAGAAGGGGCTGGAGTGAACCATGACTGGATGCTTTAGGGGACTCTCCTGTCAGGCTGCAAGGGGCCCTGGAGAGCAGCGTGTCCCCCGAGGCGCACCCCAAGCTGGATGGGGCTGTGAAAGGGGACTGACTCTGCCTGCCCGGGGGGGTGCGGGAGGGAGAGCCTCCCTGTGGGTAACCCACTTGGGGCACATCTGGAGGGGGGTTACATAGACCCAAACCCCACGTGGTGCTGAGCCTCTCACTGAACCTGAGCTGGTGGGGAAAATTCTGATGAAGATTTCCTGGGAAAGCCTTAAGTCAGAGTAAAAACCACAACTCTAAGATGTTCTTGTAATTTTTGTGTGCCAGGGCCAGAAATTCAGCAAATGCTGAGAAACATCAGCAGAAGAGAGTGTGTGCAGCCTGAGGGACCTGCCCAGCATCTGCCCGGTGCAATAGCGGAGCCAGGCCTTGGCACCGTGTGCTGCAGGGGCAGAGCATCCCCCAGCCCATGCTGATGCGCAGCAAACAGGGCCTTCCAGCCCCTCCCCAATCCCACAGCTGATGGCATCATCATATTCCCAACAAGCAGACCCAGCCCAGACTGGGAGAGGAGCCTGGTCTGTCTGCATACACTAGAGAGAACAGAGAGGAAAACAGTGAGTGCTGGGACAAGGGGAAAGGAGCATTTGGGTGGCTGGCTGGGAGGGGGCGCTTTGCCTCCATCTCCTTTGACCTGCAGACCAGGTCTAGCTGGAGCAAGTCCTTCCATGGCCACCCCCATGGAAGAACTGGAGGGAGGGAGGCAAAGACTCAGAAATTGTTCAGCGAGTGAGAAGGAAGCAGTCCTGTGGTGAAAGATGATCTCTCCGCTTAGCTCAGCCAAGGGATGGCAGAGATAACTGGGCTGGGAGCTCATCAGACAAATTCAGTGTAAAATCAGTCATTGCTTCTGACCAGTGCAGCGCCCAACCTGGAGGAAAAAAAAAAAATCCCTGCCACCCTTCCAGCACCCCACCCCTCTGAGAAGGAAGCACTGTGCCACAGTGGGGCAGAGCCCCAGCGCTCCCCCAGCCAGCCCCACACCAGAGCAGCCCGGGCTGGTGTGGCGGCAGAGGGCAGAGAAGCCCGATTACACCTCCCGCCGGTCATTAGTCACAGATCGCAGCCCTCTCTGCTCCATCAGGACCAGCTATTATCAGCTATTAAGCAGGCATTTCCATACAGCTGGCTAATTTGATAATGCTGCAATTATCTTGGTTTGTTAACAAGATTAAATTGCTAATTGGTTTGATTAAACACAGAGCTCCAGGCACGGGGTGTCTCTCGGCTGGCAGCGCTCATGGCCCCGCACAGCCCAACGGCTGCTGTGCCCCGCGCAGCAGCTCCTCTGCAGAGACAAGGGCAAGGCAGCAGCCCAGGAGGGCTTCATCCTCCCAGAAACTGCTGCCTGGCGCCGCCAGGTTTCCATGTGATGTCCCTCCTCCCGCCCTCAGACAGAGTCAGTATTGCCCGTGTCACCTCTGTCACCAAGTTGCTGGCAGGAGACATGGCTTTGGGGGCAGGGGATGCTATGGTGACATCTGGTCTGCCTCAGCCCTGCTGCTTTCTGTCTGGGGGCACTGCAACGTAGAAATCCCTGAGGCAATGCACCAACTGTGTACATCCACCTGCAGCTGCCTCAACAAATCCTCTGCCCTCCTCTCCCCAGGCACAGGTCCCTGTCACCATGCACAGCATTTCCAGCAACACCCAACTGTACTGGGGAGCTCCCATCAGCAGGGATTAGACTCATCTCTGCTCCCCCACAGCCTGCACCCACCTGGGAGGAGCTGGACAACGCACAAAAACATGCACAGGTCAGGGTCGCTGGTTGTGGTAAGCTCCTGGCAGTGTGCTTTGAGTGAAAAACCTTTGGATCCAGGTCTCTGGGGAGGAAGGGAATTTCTCTCTGTGTCCTAGGTATGTGCCAGTGAGATAGCAGGAAAAGCAGCAAGTCCTCTGCCAGGGAGAAGAGGTTTCCATGCTGGTGCTTCCCATATCATCTGCTTTCCTGGGGCTAGAGTAGGCTGGAGATGGCAGGGCTTGTTTTCTCTGCCTGGAGGCTTACCATAGCTCAGGACTCGCTGCTGTGAGAGCTTCTCCTGGGAGGAACCCACCAGGTCTGGTGTGGGGAATATGGGCAAAGGCTGCACTCAAGGACTCAGCTTGGGTTAGAAGCATCCATTGTGGCAAGTCACAGCAGCAGCACTGCTGCAGGGCAGGGAGTTCATCTTCTTTTGCATGTGGCAGGTCTAGTTTACTCCTTCTTCCCTGAAAACAGGGGGTTTGGGGCCAGTCCCTCTTGGACCAGTCCCAAAGGAAACTTCCAATAGTCCCTGGCATGCCAGAGAAGGGGATCCAGAAGGGCTCCCCAGGGAGCCACTGGCATCACAGAGGCAGCCTTGCTCCACACAGAAATGCACTTTGGTCCACTCAGAGATGGAGGCAAAGCAGATGATGGAGAAGTAAGGTCTCACCCACAGCACACCCGAACATCTTTTTAATATTTTCTTGGAGCCTTCTCCCTGCATATTTTATGCTCTGGCTCAGGAGACTGGGTGATCAGGGTCTGAATACAGAACAGTTTGGTGCTCAAGAGTGATGTGAGACCTTTTCAAGAGATGATTCGAACCAGCCTAATAAGAATTACTACAGCTTTGAAAGCCTTTGAAAAGAGAGGGTAATTTAGCTAGCCTGGCCCAAGGGTGAGAAGCTGTAGTCCCAGCAGGATGCAGCAAACACACCGAATCCAGAGGAGAAAATACCCTGGACTGAGCAGATCCACTCGGCAGCAGCTCTGCCCATGGTTGGGTGCTATGCACAGACCTCATCTCCTCTGCAGAGGAGCAGCAATATTTCAAGTTGGAAAAGGAGTCACTACTGTTCTGGTCCCCACCATAAAAGAAATATATATACCTACACACACACACACCACTGCAGAAAAATAAACCACCCTTATACTGCTGAAGGTCAACAGATGTATGACTTCAGTCTTTCTTCAGTGCGATGACTTATATAAACTCAGCTCCTCACCTGGACCGAGTCACCCTCCAGCTGCAGGGAGAGGGTACTCTGGGCCAGAGCGGTCCCACTCCAGCTGATGCCCTCCAGCATTTTCTTTCTGAAGACACAGGGATGCTTTTTTTCCTGCCCAGGAGTTTTGCCATGAACATGCCTTGGCTTGCCTGGCCAGGATGCACCAGTAACCCTTCGTGGTGCCCTTACACCCTCCCCAAACACTGAAAGGGAACATACCACACCAGCTCCCACTGTGCTGGCGGGGCAGAGGAGGAGCCTCACCCTGGGACTACACGATGTAGAGAGGCTGTGTCTGCTGCTGGGAAGTCTTTGAAACAGCCAGGGTGGAAGCTGTTCCTGCTGCCTGGCTCTAGCACATCACTGGACCCAGCCCCCTGCATGGTGGGGAGTCCCAGAGCAGCGGGGTCTGGCAGGGAATGGGACCGCGGTCAAGGGATGCCAGAGTAGCCCGCTGTGATTTCTCCCATGCCTAAAGTGCTGCCAAGCCTCGCAAGCTGACTGTGACGAAGCCCTTCAGTCTGGCACAGAAGCGCCTCTGCGTGCCCCACGACAGCCAAGAGGTAGCAGAGCCGTGCCGAGCCGCTGGGCTCCATCCTCCCTTCATCCCACCAGGAATCCTCGCCAGGCTGCTCTGCTGCGGGCACACGAGGCTGCACAGCCAGGACGCCTGTCAGAGGCTGGCAGAACTTCCCTGAGTCAGGGAACCAAAAGGAAAGGAAGGGCTGGCAGCACCCTGTAGCCTGGGGAGATCTCTGCATGCCGAGAGCCCCTTGTCTCCACACAGAGGGAGAGTGGAGGAGACAGAAGCCTGTTTCCTCTGCAGTCAGCCACGCCGCGCCCAGGCATGTGCGAGAGCTCAGCAGGGCTGGGGGGGCTACGCTCCCTCTCCCGTGCCCCAGTGCTTGGCTCCAGGGCCAGATCCACAGTCCCTCAGACGGGCTGATGTCTGTGTTCAGCCAGGCAGCTGGGATGTTATCCAAGTAACAGCTCTGGCAAAGCCTGGCAAAGCACTTGAAGACTCACACAAAGCAGTTTGCAGAGAGAAAAGCACCTCCACAGGCACCTGCCCTGCACCAGCCCCTGCTCAGGCACCAAACCACAGCACAGACTCCAACTCCCAGCCCACACGCATGCTCCCAGCAAGTTCAGGGTCATAAACTCACCATCACCCCCAAACCCACCAGCACAGGCACCGGGGTACCTGCACACCCTCTCCGAAAGGAGGCCACTCACCTGCAGAGACCCTCCCAGCTGAAACCAGTGCCTCCCCATTGCAGAGGGCTGTGGAAGAGGAGGGTGGGCTATTTGTGCTCTAGGGCAACACAGTCGAGCTCCTGCCGTTGACTGGCTCCAGCTGCGGAGGGGAACACATTTCTCAGCTCCTTCGGGTCCCAGCACCGGCTCCCTGTCAGTGCCAGCAGCATCGCATGGGGGAATTCCTGCCTCTTCAGCCCTGCCTGTGCCAAGGCGCACACAGATGCTCCTTTCCCTGACAACTATGTAGGTTAATAACATGCAATGTGATTGCAAGACACAGGGAACCGCAAAGCTCTGTCAATATTTAGCTTTTACACATTTGGCTAATTAGAGAGCAACCTGTGATTCCCTCCAAAGGAGGCACGGCTGCTTTGCCCCTCGCCCTCCCCTTCTGTACGTTCCCGGTTCAGATGAGATAAACGTCAGCTCATTATTTCTGGAGTTTGCCGGTCGCAAACTGTCTGTC